GCATACTTGTTGCTTAATGAAGTAAAACACATTATTTAACATTCTCTGAAAAAACGCTTTTTCAGATCTCCTTTTAATCTTCCTCTTTGCCTATTATGTCAATCAAAATTAAATATAATTTCAAACTCTTAACTAGGACCGCTAGTGCAAACGACTTATTTAATGACGTCGGAAATGGTGACACACCAATATGGCGGCGATTACCAAAAACGAGGCCGATAAGCAATCTTTGTAGTGCTTATAGTCCAAGAGCCCAGAGCCGCCAGACACAACTTACCTATTTTCTAAAGGACTGAATATGTGCGATTGTGTAGCACTTATATGTACTATGAACGTATGTATGTATACTCGCTAAGTTGGGTAGACGGCCAATTTACCGACACCAGGTGCGAAAGCTGAGAAAAACTTTAACTTTTTTCTAACGCTTGATTTTTATACATATATGTTATTGGGGAGACTATTTCATAACTACGTAAGCTCAGCCAAACCAATCGCGCCGGCCAAACATCCCCCCAGACGCAATAATAATTTTTCCAGGAGTGTGAGCACGAATAAGGTACTGTGCATGCGTTTGGGAGTGAGCGAGATATCTATGTCAACTGATTTCCCCCTCTTAAACTTACTGTCTACTCCAGGCTAGAGTAGAAATGGGAGAAACTGTTATTTACAAATAACAGTTTCAGCTGTTACTATTATTTTCAATTGGCCGTCTACCCAACTTAGCGGGTATACACACGTTCATAGCACCTATGACTGCTACTCAATCCCACATATTCTGTCCTTAAGAAAATAAGTTGTGTCTGGCGGCTCTGGGCTCTTGGACTATTAGATTGTAGTGTCTATTACCCTTGAATCCTTAGACCCATTTTAAGATGCCTCGTGCTTCAGTTTGACAAAACGTGTCATGTGTGTGTCAAGTATAGACGACAATAAAGTTCAAAATAATAGACCGCTTGAAGATAAAATGTTTTATTGTAAGTGCTTGCTTTTTCAAAGATTGAATTAGGTACCTAATATAGTTATTTATGTAGCTACGCGTCAGCCTTCAACTCCTAACGTTGAGCTCAGCTCAAAAAGAGTACCTTCGGGGACCGAACGGCATACAACATTTTATCTTCCAGGGATTGCAATATTTTCCTCCACAACTCAATGACTGCTTTTTTTAATCCATTTTCGGAAAAATAAAAGGCTTCCACTATAATTTACGTTCTCGCATGTCTGCTGCTGCTTCTAGTCTAAGATCCGAATAGGAAAGGATTTGCACCCATCTGTTTATTGGATAAAAATTATTTTATATCAAAGTTAGTATGTTAAAAAAAATATCAGGTGTGGGTTGGCTAAAAAATTCCTGGCCAGACTATTATTAATAAATAATTCAAAAATTATAATTGTTAAAGGCATTGCACTCATTTGTTTAACGAACAAATTCCATACTAATCGAAAGTATAGGGCCTAAAGAATATAAAAACGTTGGATTGTCTATTTTTTTCCTGGCATAACTATCGGGTTGGCAGGTTTGAACAGGTGAGTCGATACTAGTAATTCACACCCATCAATCTGTTTAATGAATAAATCTTACATCAAAAAAAAAGTAATTTTATTGCGAACACGATGATATAGGGTTGTCGGCGAAAAATCTGGCCTGAATGACGGTTGGCGAGCTTTGAAAAGCGAAATTTGGGTGCGGATGGAAATATGCGACAGAGTGGTGTATGATTTATACATTAAACAAATGGGTGTAAATTACTAGTATCGACTCACCTGTTCAAACCTGTCAACCCAATAGTTATGCCAGGAAAAAATAGACATCCCAACGTTTCTATATTCTTTTATCCCTATACTTATTCAATTAGTATGAAATTTGTTCGTTAAACAAATGAGTGCAATGCCTTTGACAATTATAATTTTTGAATTATTTATTAATAATAGTCTGGCCAGGAATTTTTTAGCCAACCCACACCTGATATATTTTTTAACATACTAACTTTGATATAAAATAATTTTCACCCAATAAACAGATGGGTGCAGATCCTTTCCTATTCGGATCTTCTACTATTCCGGATAGGCCAAATTAACGAGACAGATGTCGCGGTTTCAAATTCTTGTGAGCTCTCCGCAGCTTTTTGTTGCCTTGTTCTTAGCTGTACCTTGTAAACTGCATTCGGTGTTGATCTCCATAGCGACGCTAACGCATCAACAAGCGCACCATAGTTTTGTTACAAGCGTCTGCGGATCACACGGGGGCAACGCCACGAATACAGCGTCCATAACGTTTTTGCTCCTTGTTTATTGACGCCCCCACCTCCTTGTCCTGAATCCTGATGAATATTTATTGTTATATTCTAGGATTATTTTGCAATTTCCATTTCGTAAAATATCGATTATTATCGATAATATTTAACTAAAAATTTTAGAAAGACTGATGAGAATTAATTTTTTTGGGATGGGGTATCAAGCCCAAGCCAGAACCCGGGTACAAAAAAATAATTGATAAGTCAGGTGGAACAATCCAATGATACATGGCCCTTCGCCCTCCACAGTTGATTTGTAGGCTGTATCACAATTATTAAGCTGTTTCTGTAAGATTTTGAAAGACACAGTGTTTAATCTAGATTGTTAAATAATAGCTATTTTGCTATTTATATAAATGGCATTAAATAACAAGTAGGTACCTACAATAAAGAAAGGCTTATTGTACGAATAATTATATGACCGAGCGAGCTTGCGAGCGAGGCTATTAAATAATAAGTCAATACTCAATAAAGCCTGTTTATGTTAGCGTAATAGGTACCTACATAATGTAAATTTAATGCGTTTATGTAAATTTCCATCTTGATGATAAATAAAATAAATAATTATTGTACCATTTTTCCTTTCAACAGTTTAAACAGTTCATTTTATAAACTGTGCTCTGATGGTATCTTTTGCTCTAATTTTCTTTTCCACTCAAAAAAGTCTTCCTTATTATTAAATGTTAAATTCTTGGGGTCTAAGTTGTTTCCGTGAAAATTTTTGTAATATGTAAAACAATAATGTCTTTGCTGTCGGTAATAAAATCACAGTTTAATGGGCATCTTATGGACTTCATTATTTTTGTAGATGTATTTTTGTTGTGAATTGTGCTCTCCATGTGTTTTTTTAGGTGATAATTGCTCGAAAACTCCCTCTCATGTCATTGATAATGATAATAAGACAAACTATCGAATTATAATTAATAATTTTGTGTCACATAAATAAAGAGGCGGTAAACAAAAATGCTAGTGAACCTCCGTTTGTCGCGTCGCACCAAATTTTAAAAGTTTCGTTCGTACACTTTCGATCATATTCGTGGCGTTGCCTCCGTGTGATCCGCAGACGCTTGTAGTTTTGTTGGGAAGCAGTGATGCCAGATGGAGAAAATAAAAAATGGTAGGTATCTGTCATTTGTAAAAATGATATTTCACATACAAAAAAATGGTATCTTTAATTTAATTAAGGGGAAAGGGGGTCTATTGTTATATTCTATTGTTTTTATTTCTAAATGTCTGTTCCAACACGTCAGAAATCGTCCTAAAAACCGTTTCAAATCCACTATGTCTGTATACGAATTATGGATTCTATCGTTGATTGATTCTATGCACATATTTTTGGTTTTGCGCAGAATCATGACGGTACAATGTAGGGTTTCCTGCTGTATTGGAACAAAGCTTATGATTAGCACACGAGTCCATCTTGGTATTAAAAATGAAAATTCGGTTTCGGTTAGAATAATGACGTCATGGAGTGATCCTAAATTGAAAATACAATGTTTTATTGCAATTCAAAGTATTTTAACACAAACCTGACAAGAAAAACTAGACATCACAGGAACAACGAGCTCAAACAATTGAAAATGAAGAAAATATGGTATAATATGCAAAAAATGGTAGAAAAATGGTAGCTTTCATCAAAAAATAGTAGAAAAATGGAAAATGGTATCCTCAAAATTTTTGCAGGTATCATGGAAGAAAAAATGTTATAAATACCATTTAAATGGTATATCTGGCAACGCTGTTGGGAAGCAGAGCGGATTTTTTTTTTCCTGAGCCGGTCCTGTTCTTCTTGTTGTTCGTTGTTGGGCTTCCTCCTCTTGTTTTTCCAGCTTTCCACCTTCGATCTTCTTCCTTTCGTTTCTCTTTTTGTCGGCCCAGCTCTTCTTGTTTTTTGCTCTGTCTTCGGTCTTCCATTGACTCCGATCGTTGGTCTTCTTGTCATTGTAAAAGTGCTGCAAGTCGGTCCTGGTGGGGGATTCTCATCCTCTAGTCGCAACCTATCGTCCCGACTACCCATTGCCTTTCTACGGGTGAGTCGGGACGATAGGTTGCGACTAGTGGATGATAATCCCGCCCCTGTTCTTTCTGTGTTCGATCTTCTTCTTGTTTTTTTGTCTGTCTTCGTGCTTCCTCTTCTAGCTTTATTTTTCGGTCCAAAGTACCTAGGTACTCTGAATTTTATTTTTACTTGTTGCCATATCGAAAGTTCTGTGGCGTACTCAGGATCTATCTAGGATAACATGTCTATCGAATACAGATAAAAGAATTTCCCAGAAAAGACGTGCTCTCAGCACTAAATAAATTTCCTAGAATCCTGGTCGGGTTGTCGATGCATTTTCGTGACACGAATTGTTTGTCAGCCACACTGGCCATATTTGATTGAAAAAACTCAGGATTTATAATTAAATAACAATACGAGAGACATAAACATAATTAAACTACATATTCCCAAAAAGCACTTTTTTGTGCTCTCGAAGCAGATAACCAGAACTTACTGACACTCTGTGCTCTATGTTCCAACTCCGAATCACTCCCCAAGCATGTCCAATCGATTCTGTTCTCGACACAACTAGAATTTGTACACTACAAAAATGATTCTTGGGAAGGTGAAGGGTTATCTGGGCAATCCGGTTTTTTTGCAGTTTTTTTGCTTAAAGAACAAATAAATAAACTAGGTAAAAAGCAGTTGTTTACATAAACAAAATAGACATGAGTGGAGCAGTTTATGGTGGAGGTAATTGAAAAATATTTTGTTTATGATTTTCTAACCTACAAATTGTATTATTATTTCTTGCAGATGAAGTCGGTGCATTAGTTTTCGATATAGGGCACAATAGTGTAAGGGCTGGATATGCCGGCGAAGACTGCCCCAAAGTTGATATTCCAACAACAGTGGGAGTGTGGCTTGATTCAGAGGATGAAGTCTCGGTTCCTGTAACGCACTATAATATTGGGCTTTGTGCTATTCATGTTTGGAGGCCTGGTAAATTCTCTTGTTTTCTATACTTCCTTAAGGGTCCCACACACTACGATGAAACAAAACGGTTTTCATTGCCGCGATGAAACACGTACATTCCAAAACCGAAGTGTGTGGTAGAAAACCGTCGTTTTTCATTGTAGTGTGTGGGGCCTTTTATACTTTGCAAAATATTGTTTGTCAAAATAATAAGTACCTACATGTAAAATTTTGCTCAAGAGTAAGTGCCTATAGAAACAGATCAAACTAACGTGAATGGTTCAAGGAAAAACTTGAAGATTTTAAAATACCTAATATTGGGAAATATAATATGTTAAATTCGTTAAAGCTCAATAGATTATTCTCATCAGTATTGTAAAATGCTCGGTAAAATCTATAGGCATAGGCCACTTATCTTATTGAGAGGCGAAAACTATTTACTGAGCTATTCACCATAGAAAAGTTATGGTGAAAATGAAAGGATAAAAAATGGAACTCTCAGCCCCAGGTTAAGCATAACTCCAGGATAAACATTGCAACTGGACACGTTTACCCTAGAGTTAAGGTGACTGAAGGTGACTCGCTATTGAGAAATCAATCCGCATGAACTCAATTCCTACACATTATTATATACAGGGTGTTTCACGAACATCTAAACAGAGGCATTTTAGGGTATTCTAAGACCGATTTACAGAAAATGCTCTAACAAGTCAATTTTGTATTCAAGAGGGAAACTTTTTGACCCCATCGGTATTTCCGTAGGGTGCATCCCCTGGGTGGGGTGACTTCCACCCCTCTTTTTTGATAGGAAAGATGGGTCGAGTGGTACCTTGTTTTAAAGGTATTTTGATTCTCGTCACAACTGCGTATTTTTTTTTTTAAATCGAATGATTAGTTCTCAAGATATTCACTGTCAAAGTTGCTATGGGCTAGATAATAAACAATCTTCTGGCCCTGTTATTCACAAATCAATACTCTCCTGACTTTTCTCTCGGACACTTCAATATTCATTTTTTGTGTGCTTCTGAAAAAATTGAAATTGACGTGTCCGAGAGAAAAGTCAGGAAAGTAGTAATTTGAGAATAACATGGCCAGAAAATTGTTTCTCATTTAGCCCATGGCAACTTTGACAGTAAATATCTTGATAACTAATCATTCGATTTTCAAAAAAACTGCGCAGTTATGACCAGAATCAAAATACCTTTAAAACAAGGTACTACTCGACCCATCTTCCCTATCTTAAAAAGAGGGGTGAAAGTCACCCCACCCAGGGGGTGCACCCTAGCGAAATATCGATGGGGTCAAGAACTTTCCTCCTTGAATACAATATTGAGGTGCTCGAGTATTTTTTTTTTAAATTGACTTTAAAATACCCCAAAACGCCTCTGTTTCGATGTTTGAGAAACACCCTGTATAATGATTGATAGCAGAATTTTTTGATGAATTTTTATACAAATATTTTAGTTTACTTGAGTTTTTCCTAGATTAGGTTAAGTATATGGCTGTCAGATGATTGAAATTGAAATATTGAGACCAGAAATGGCAGAAATCTCTGAGTATTAATTTCTTGCAAGACTCAGATTGATTGGTAAAGTGAAACATTTGTAAAACTCAACAGTAAAAATTTAAATGATGAACATCCACGAACAAGAAAATAGAAAGTTTAGAATTTCTCAATTCACCTACATGAAGTTAGCTCAATTAGCATCGATCCTAGACTGGCTTGATCATTTGTATTAAAAACACTCAAAACTTTTATTTTTCAAGCCTAAATTTTGAGATAATCAACTTTGTAGCTGGTTCGAATTCATAACAACATTTTACTTCAAAGTAGCTACAAACTATTGTCAGCTTTAAAACTGGCGACTGGCCTTTCATATCCTAACGCCAAAAAGGTATGTTATATATTTGAGATGGTATTAGTCAATGTGGGTAAATGGTAAATGGAAACAGGGGTGATTGGAGGCAATGATCAAAATCATGGTAAATATATTGCATTTCAAAAGTAGAGAATATTCCAAATGTTTTCATTTGCCCGAAGGCTTGATCATTGATTTTATATAGGTAAATATTTACATGTTTTCAATTACTTCTCAAGAGCTGGTTATTTTGGGTTAGATTAGTATAAATTAATACCAATATGCCCTTGTAAAATCCATTTTGCAATATAAATTAATGATAACATTTTAATATGCGGTAATCGTGTCTTAAATCGAGCAAATAACAAAAGCGTTTTTAATTACCTACATTGACCTATATCGATAAAAATTATTTCTAGAATTATCCGATACAACCTTCGGTTCATTCATCTCAAAATAGGTATTTATGAAATGTTAGTTTAACTTGATATCTCTGTACTATTTATCAAATAGTTGCCATGGCGTATTTTAAGATTTTCTAAGCCATTGATTGGATAATGACCTAAATACAGGGTGTTTGGTAAATCGATAAGAAGTTTTCAATGAGTGATAGTTGGGGTTATTTTGGAGCTGTTTGACCACATTTACCCCTATGCAAAGTTTCGTCGTTTTTGAGATATCAGGATTTTAAAATATTTTTGGGAAATATTTGAATTGTTCCTAAAACATTTTTTTTTTTTTGATAGTAAACACTTTACCCTTTCTCATTTTTTTTCGATATTCCTAATAAGCACTTTTTCAGAAAAATTTGAAAAGAAAAACCAAATGATTGATACAAAAAATATATAGCCAAGTTATGTGTTAAAATACATGGATTCAAAATATCTTAAAATGGCGATAGCTGAAAAAACGGCGAAACTTTGCATGAGGGTAAATATGCTCAAACTCTCACTATTGCTCATTGAAATCTTCTTATCGATGTACCAGCAAAAATGGAAGAACAGGTTAAAAAAAAAACATCTAGAGCTCGATCAAAATTTTCTTTTTAGTGTTGAAACGTTTGAACCTAAAGGTGGTAAGCTAAAAAACTCATGAAGGAAATAAGTTTGAAAATAAAGAACAAAAAAGCTCATAGTCATTGAATACAAAATATTAGCCTCACTATCCAAAGGGAAAAATTGAGCCTCAGTTCTTAACAATTTGCCTGTGGGAACTGATTTGGAAGAGATTTTTTTATTTATATTCAATTTGTTAGGTAGTTATTAAACGAATCAAATTAAGTTTTTTTTCTTCTGTTTATGTTACTCATAATAGGTATGGCCTAATAGAAGTAAGCAATAAATAAAAAAAATAAAAAACTGTTTTTAAATTTAAATCTTTCTGTTTGCTAAATTTGTTGTAGTACTTATTTATTAGTCTCTTCCAAATAAACGATTATTATTATTATCCTATGAAATAAAGCAACATTGTGAGAAAATAACTTGAAACCTACTTACTTACCTTAGGCAAAAATTTATCAGGAGCTTTGCTTGAAAAATCTTCAATGTTCTGCCTAAAAAAGACTCGACTTTTCAGAAGCTATTACATGTATTTTAAAATTTTTAGGAATACACAACTTGTTTAATCAGATATTTTATTGATACTCACAGAAGTAATTTTTTTTTTCAGAAATGGAACTGAGTACGTTTTTGAAAGATGGCATGGTGGAAAACTGGGACATGTTTGAAAATTTTCTAGATTATATTTACTATTCAGCTCTGAAAGCAGTTCCTAGAGATCATCCCATTCTCCTGACAGAACCCCCATGGATAACGTCGCCCAAAAGGGAAGAAATGGCAGAGCTGATGTTTGAGAAATATGGGGTACCTGCTGCTTATTTAGCAAAGAATGCTAGTTTAGCTGCATTTGCTAATGGAAGGCCTACTTGCTTGGTACTAGATAGTGGTGCTACACACACCTCAGCTGTTCCAGTTCATGATGGGTAAGAAAAGGTTGTAGCGTGCTCAAATATGAAATGTTTCATAAAAAGTTTCATTGTTTATCAGACTACAATTTACATATCAAAATTACGTGATTTGGCAAGAGCATAAAGAAATATTCTCACTTAATTTATTTTGATTTTGCTTGTGCTTCAAAGTTTTTTTCAACAGAGCACAACCTAGTAATATTTTCATATTACTTTGCACTTCAATACAACGAATTTTGTTAATTTATGCATTTATTCATATTTCCAGTTATGTATTGACACAAGCAGTAGTCAAGTCTCCCGTTGGTGGTGATTATTTGAGCGAACAGTGTAGAGTATATTTACAAGAAAGAGGTATTGAATTAGTACCTCCAAGTTTTGTGGCATCCAAGGAAGTTGGTAGGCCTGAAGAGTCTCCTACTTGGCAAAGACGCGATGTTCCCTATAACTTAACTGATTCCTGGTTCGCGTATATGATAAAAGTAAGGATTTAAATAAATGTTGCTTCTCCTATCAGTTTTTGATAATTTGTTCAGGAAGTCATGCAAGATTTTCAAGCGACGATTCTACAAGTATCGGATAGTTCATATGACGAGGAAATCGTCAAGACGATGCCAACTACACATTACGAGTTTCCTAATGGTTTTCATCGAGATTTTGGAGTCGAAAGATTTAAAATACCAGAACCTCTCTTCAATCCAACTAATGGAGCCAAATCAGGAATCCAACCGATTTTGGGAGTTGGATCTTTAGTTACCACTAGTGTTGGAATGTGTGATATTGATGTTAGACCTGTAAGTATCTACTTATTGTGATTTTTTGTTGGATGAATCATTATTTCATCTAAGGACGCGGCAATAATTGATAATTTCAAATAAACTGCTGGACAAATCAACGCGAACTAAAGAAGTTATCAATGACTGCGTTATTTAGAAGCTAATTTTCGCAAACCGCTCATTGATATTTTTTCCAGTTCGCGAATATTGGAATTTGAAGTTAACTTAAAAATTTGCTTGTTCCGCTTCATTTGTCCAGCAGTTTATATTTCTTTTCTCAGCTCTTCCAATGCAGATATTCACTTGAACGGTTGATTACTTTACCATTTTAATACCTAAATTTTTAATTATTTCTAGGCTATGTATGGTAATGTTGTTGTGACTGGAGGAAATTCTAGTCTACAAGGATTTACAGAAAGACTCAATAGGGATTTGTCGAATAAAACTCCGCCTAGCATGCGATTAAAAGTTATTAGTGCACCAGGATCTTCAGAAAGGAGATTTGGCGCGTGGACTGGTGGTTCCATATTAAGCTCGTTGGGAACATTTCAACAAATGTGGGTTTCTAAACAGGAGTATGAGGAAGGTGGTAAGGCTGTAGTCCAAACGAAATGCTTCTAAATTATTATGTTTTCGAGGAAAAACACTTGACTCCTTTTGTTCAAAATTCCACCATACATTATTTTTCTTCTTTTTTCTTTATGATAAAATTGTATTTAGTTTTATATACTATCATGAAAAGTGTAGGGGTTTTCCATATGGCTTGTTCTTAGCCAAATTTTCACGCACACCTGCCAGTACTTCATCCTAGAACCTTCAATGTAAAAAAGGGGTAATTTAAAGGATCTTTTTTTCTGTGAGACGAAATTTTTGTTATTTTTGTTTTTTTTTTGTATGTTTTTTTTTTCTTATTGTATTTAAAATCGCTTGTAGACTTCGTTACAGCCTTGGTGTCTTCACTAACAAAGTTCTTTGGAAAAATCTCCTTTCATGAGGGCACCTGGGTTGCCTAAAGGGTCGGGTCCCCCTGTAACCAATACTTTTGTGGGAGGGGCCTTGGGGTCGTATTTTCGAATTCATTCGAGTACATTTGTACACGAATTTGACTGACAGCAATGTAAATTAAATGCGGAAGCATTCGAAATCATATCTATGTTTTTTTTTTTAAATTTTATTCATTTTTTTTTTATATTGACTTTAAATTGTATTTTTTTTACATGTAATTGATAACGTACAGCAGCAGTGCTTATTGTCTTAATAAACCTATCTATCTATCAAATTTTTACATGTAATTGATAACGTACAGCAGCAGTGCTTATTGTCTTAATAAACCTATCTATCTATCAAATTTCCTATGCGAGAATATTCGAAAATACGACCCCTGGGCGTAGAGAGCTGGGGCACCCTATAACCAAAAATAGGCCCTACTCCGTCTTAACCGGCTTTACCTCACTCTGCATTAATGGGTCAGGGGGCTGAAAATCCACTGCTTTATGTTTTTTTTTTCTTTTCAGAATCGCTTGTGTACTTCGTTACAGCGTGGGTGCCTTTGCTAAAGGCGTTCTTTATGGGAAATCTCTGCTTGTGAGGGGCCCTGGGTTGCATAAAAGGCCAGGGCCCCTTGTAACCAAAACTGTTGAACAGTGCGGAAAATGGATTTGCTCGCTCGGTGCGGCAAACATTTTTCCGCACGGATATTGGTGGACTCGCCGCCTCCTTCCCCTGTCTCCCCTTCACTTGCCACCAAAATTGATTCGGGCCTGTTATAGGTTTTTTTTTTTTTTTTGTACATATAGTTTCTAAGTTTAGTAATAACACATTTGTTCTAGCCCAAATTTTTTTTTATGTTTTTGTTTATTTTGTGTCTTTATTTCCTATTTTTAAAATCGCTTGTGTTCTTCGTTATTGCCTTGCTGCTTTCGCTAACGACATTCTTTGGAAAATTTCTTTTAGTGAGGGGCCATGCGTTGGGAAAAGGGCCGGGGCCTTCTGTAACCAAAAATCGGACAGTTCTTCCAATTTAGAAGTATGCTTGTACAGCGAACTTCCATTTCTCATAACTTTCTCGCCCTTTCAGTTTCTCAATGAACGGTCTGATTAGTAGACATCTTGTGATCACAAGTAAAAAAATAATATTCGGCTGCAATCTCGGTTAGTTTCTAAGCTCTTTCAGTACATACACATTTTTTCTTCAAGCCCAAAAAAATGTTGATGTTCTTGTTTATTTTTGTATGTTTGTTTTTTATCGCTTGTGTACTTGGTTATAGCCATGGTGCCTTCGCTAACGACGTTCTTTGGGAAATCTCTTTTAGTGAGGGGCCCTGGGTTTGGTAAAGGGCCAGGGCCCCCTGTAACCAAAAATTGGACCTACTCACTTTGGCAACGGACTCATAGTTCACCGAATTTGGTGAGGGCTTCAGCCTCAAAAATGGATTCACCCCTGTTATGAGTTTAATCTTTTATTGTACAGATAGTTTCTAAGTTTTTTTTGTTATGTTTTTGTTTATTTTTGTACGTTTTTTTTTTTCTAATTTTAAAATTGCTTGTGTTCTTCGTTCTTGCCTTAGTGCTTATGCTAACGACATTCTTTGGGAAATTTCTTTTAGTGAGGGGCCGTGCGTGGGGAAAAGGGCTGGGTCCCTCTGTAACCAGAAATCGGACAGTTATTCCAATTCAGAAGTATGCTTGTACAGCGAACTTCCATTTCTCATAATTTTCTCGCCCTTTCAGTTTCTCAATGGATGGTCTGATTAGCAGACATCTTGTGATCACAAATAATATTCGGCTGCAATCTCGATTAGTTTCTAAGTTCTTCCAGTACCTATTTTTTCTTTAAGCCCAAAAAAATGTTGATGTTCTTGTTTATTTTTGTATTATCGCTCGTGTACTTTGTTATAACTTTGGTGCCTTTGCTAACGACGTTCTTTGAGAAATTGCTTTTTGTGAGGGGCCCTGGGTTTGGTAAAGGGCCGGGGCCCCCTGTAACCAAAAATTGGACCTACTCACTTTCAACCGGCTCTGCACTTATGTGGTAACGAACTAATAAGTTCACCGAATTTGGTGAGGACTTCAGCCTCAAAAATGAATTCACCCCTGTTATGAGTTTAATCTTTTATTGTACAGATAGTTTCTAAGTATTTTTTTTTTAATGTTTTTGTTTATTTTTGTGAGTTTTTTTTTAAATTTTAAAATCGCTTGTGTACTTCGTTATTGCCTTGGTGCCTTTGCTAACGACGTTCTTTGGGAAATCGCTTTTTGTGAGGGGCACTGGGTTGCGTAAAGTGCCGGGGCCCCCTGTTACCAATACTGTTGAAGAGTGCGGGAAATCGATTTTCCGGTGCGACAATAGTTATTGACCTAACAAGTGCGGAAAGTGATACTATTCCGCACGAAACGGGCCCCCCTGTAACTAAAACTGTTGAACAGTGCGGAAAATTGATTTTCCCTCACAGTGTGGCAAACATTTTTCCGCATGGATATCGGTGGACTCGCCGCCTCTTTCCCCTGTGTCCCCTTCACTTGCCACCAAAATTGATTCGCCCCTGTTATAGGTTTATTTTATTTTTTGTACATATAGCTTTTAAGTTTATTAATAATACATTTTTGTTCTAGCCCAATTTTATTTTAATGTTTTTGTTTATTTTTGTATGGTTTTTTTTTCTATTTAAAATCGCTTGTGTACTCCGTTACAGCGTTGGTGCCTTTGCTAACGATGTTCTTTGGGAAATTTCTTTTTGTGAGGGGCCCTGGGTTGCGTAAAGGGCCGGGGCCCCCTGTAACCAAAAATAACCCTACTCCCTTTAAACGACTCAGCATTAATGGACCAAGAGACTGATAATTCGCTGAATTTAGTAAAACATTATCCGAATATTTGAATCAAAAAACTTCATTGTCCCAAACATTCAGATTAATTCATACAAAAGTAATACTCGCCGCCTATTTCCCTTGCCTTCTTCTTCACTTTGTTCCTTCTAGGTTTTGGTCCATCCCATCCTTCCGATGAGGGAAGAGCGTTCTGGGCATTGGTTTGCTTCAGTATGAAATGGTCTTTAAACCAATCCTAAATGCGATGAAGCAAAGTAATAATAATGTAATAATAATGTAATTATCCAATAGCAAGCGGTGTACCGATGAAGCTATTGTCTCTTTAAAATTTGTTATTGTTTACATTTTCCTTTAATTATGCGCCATAATGGATCATTCTTGCTGCACTCTGTCTTAATTCTTTGTCTAAACGATTTTTAAATATATTAACGTTTGCTGCAGTAACCGTTTCCTCTGTGAGTGCATTCCATGAATATACCACACGATTGGTCAGAAAATTCTTCCTTTGGAGTTTAGCAGCCCTTTCCTTGTCTATTTTCATAGAATGTCCTCGAAGCTGTGGATTCTGGTTGAGACGAAAGATGTTCTTGATTTCGCACTGATAGTGTCCACTAATTATTTTATACGTTTCGATAAGGTCTCCTCTATGTCTTCGCTCCCTTAGCGTTGTTAATTGAAGTCTTTCCAGTCTTTCTGGGTATGGTAAATTTTTCAGTTCATTGGGTATCTTCGTGACTCTTCTTTGTATTTTTTCCAGGATCTCAATATCTTTTACGTAATATGGGTTCCATACTGTGTAAGCGTACTCAAGTTTTGGCCTAATATAGCTTTTATATAGTATTGAAATCATTTCCATTGTGTGGTCTTTGAATGCCTGTTTTACAAGGTAGACGAACGAGTTGGTCTTTTTGGCTATTTTCAGAATGTGGTTTTCCCATTTTAAATTTGCAGTCACGATAACACCCAGGTCATTTTGCTCATCCACTACCGACAAAACTGTGTTATTCAATGTGTATTGTTCGTTTGGGTTGTTTGGACCAATTCTTAATACTGTGCATTTAGATTCGTTTAGTTTCATCCCCCAGGTACTGGACCATTCCTCGATTCTTTGAAGATCTCTCTTGAGCTGAATTGCGTTAAGACAGGGGTTTGCATATATTTTACCATCATCAGCAAAATTTTTCATTTTCGTCTCAATCAGGTCGACAAGATCGAAGAGATATGCCGTAAAAAGCAAAGGCCCTATTACTGATCCCTGAATAACTCCGCTGCTGACTGGATGTTGCTTAGACATTTCGCCATTCACTCTCACTTGATAATGTCTTTTGTATAGGGAGTCTGCTATCAATGACAGTATTTGTCCTCGCACACCATAGTGTTCAAGCTTGATAAGCAAATAATTCTGAGGAACTTTATCGAATGCTTTTTCATAATCCAAATAGATAATGTCAGTTGGTTGGGAGTTGTCATGGTTTTCTGTCCAATCATTCAGGCATTCGATTAGGTTTGTTGTAGTGGACCGTTTTGGAAGAAATCCATGCTGTGATGGAGGTATCAAATTGTTTTCTGTGAAAAATGATGTTAATTCTTTCACAATAATTTTTTCCATGCATTTCAATGGATTACAGTTGAGGCTTATGGGACGATAATTTTCTGGTTTGTGTCGGTCTCCTTTTTTAAATAGCGGTGTTACTATTGACAGTTTCCATTGCTCCGGGATCCTTCCCAGATGTATACACTCTTGCATCACTTCTGCCAAGTACGAACTAATTGTTTCACTGCAGTTCTGGAGGAAGATTGTAGGAATTCCATCTGTACCAGGACTTGATTCTTTTTTCATTTTCGTATGGGTCTCTTTTACCTTCTCTTCAGTGAAGACTATGTTGGTGATTGAGTTCTGGTTTCTGATACTTGCTGGCTGTGGTGGAGGGGTGTAGTTTTGTGGTTGAGAGAATGATTTATCAAATTGGTATGCAAATTTTTCCGACATGGTTTTGTTATCCATAATTTCGTGACTGGTTGGATCTTTGAGCGTTATTGTAGACACTTTAGAGTTTAAGGCTCTACTTATGTATTTGTACAACTGCTTAGGTGACTTTGAGGCTGCTAAGTTATGTTCATATGTTTTTCTAGCATCAAATAGTTTTTGTTTCAGAGTGTTGTTTTGATTTCTGTAAAGCTGATAGTTTTCTGGCGTTTTATTCTGCCTGTATCGGTCCCATAGTTGTCGCTTGTTATCAATTTCCTTGAAATGTGCTGCAGTAATCCATGGCTTTTGCTGGTTCACTTTTATTGATCTTAATGGAATATACCTTTCTATAGCCTCATTAATAATTCTTTGATAGTTGTCAAATTTTGATTGTTCTGCATTAACCTGCTGTTGTCTGATATAACCATTTATTTGCTCATATTTTGCAGTGCGAAAATTTCTTTTTTGAATCTTATGGGTTTGTTTCGGCGGTAATTTTATCTGGGCTCTCGCTGTAATAACAACATGGTCACTTTGCCCAACTGGTGGCTCAGATCGAATGTCAAAAATACTTTTTTTATCGCTGCTCAAAAACAAGTCCAAAAGGGAGCTTTGACTATTCCTAAATCGAGTTGGGAAGCTTATTAATTGGTATATGTTACTTTGATTATACATATCCATAAAATCCTGTGCCCTCTTGTCAGCCGGTATTACCCCCAGGTGTCTTATAGTGTCTTATAGTAGCCAAATTTCCTAATCCAGCAGTGGAGCTTCTAGTACGTATGTATTTGAATTCAAGAATTTGCTGAAGGGATTGGTAATTTATAGATCAGTTCACCTTAAAACAAAAAGCGTGGTGTTGCCGGTTAGGAGTTGTATTTCTTGCATTGCGTGTTTCATGTTGTTTTGAATTATGCACTTACTATTTCATGTATCCCTATTGTCAGTAATAACCTGACAAGAATAGAGATTTGGGAATTAGGGTTAGAATTTGTGTGCCACACCTTAACTTGCTCAGCTATATGTACATTATGTAAATACACGTCGGATTATTATTATTATTATAATTTTTCGATGTAGCAGATCTCTTGTTTGATATTTGATTTATCCAAATATTTTTTATTTAATTTTTTCTGTTAACTATATTATGTATAATCTCTTTTGTATAGTTTCTAAGGTATTTAGGTTTTTTTTGTATGTGTTTTCTTTTTGTAATTAATTTAGCTTAAATTTAATCCAGTTTGGCTTTGTTTTGGTATGGATTTGTTGGTGGAATAAGTCAACTGTTGTCAGTTGTTACAGCACTAAAGCCAGCCACCTACAAACATATGTAGTTTCATTGGCAAAATAATGTTATTGTTCCATTCATACCAACAAGTTTTATTATTATTCATTACCAAAAATAGTTGAAGGGATTAGAGTAGAATTATTATTACCGATTCAATTGCGCTATGAGTGACAATATTAGCGGGCTCATAGCTCTAATTATTGTTTATTAATGTTTATGTATGTATGTCACATTTTTATCCTTCAAAGAAGCGGCCTTTCCGTTTCAGTTTTAGTATTGCATTTTTGTGTATGAAACATAATGCCATCTAGTGACGTTTTTGTCACTACATCTTTTGGAAAAAAATCTCTGTATATCAAAAAGACTTGATATGATAAATGAGATTCATGAATATTCATTCTGGACAAATTTCATGAAATAACGCACATTTACCAGTATTAATCATTCATGTTTACCCAGTATTTAGTTTTCTTCTTTGAAGGCAGCATTGTGTCTGAGACTTTTTATTTTCCAGTAACAGACTGCAATTATTGTACTCATGGCCGGTGTAATTCTTAGTGTTAGTAAATCTAGTCATTGTGAGATGAAACTCATTAAAAATCTCTAAATAGACTTGTTTTGATCTCATTATTTTTCAAAATGTTCGGTTGTTCCTCAACAAATTTGATGTGTGATAATAATTTACCTATTTGCAATAATTTTTATTTAGGGTAATTTAAGGTTCCTATTTTTTATACTTTGCCATATTTTTCTCTTAGATATAATTATTCATAAGCCAATATTATCAATATACTTCATTATGTGCCAATAAAGAAATAATACAATAAAATAAATATATTATTTTTTATTTAATAACAACAGGAGAAATAAGTTCACAGTGGTTATTAAAGTTGAACAAGTTAAATAAAGTAATGATAAAATATACTCCTGGACAAAATTATCGCACCACCACTGCACATAAGCACCATAAGCAGTGGTGCGATAATTTTGTCCAGGAGTATAAAATAAAAAGTATAAAACTGAAGAATAACTGGTATGTACCACATCACATTATTTTTTATTATCTAAGAATACATACGAATTATAGCAGGAACTCAACTTGCTACGGTATATGATTTTGAATTCTTCCATTTTCAGTGGCGTATCAACCCAGCTCCGGGCCTGTGTGCCAAAACGTCCTCGGGCCCATTACAGGTCCGATTTTTTTTTTTTTTTACTAACCCAAAAGTCGTTCAAAAAATACGCCTTTTTAAATATTTTTATTTGAACGTGAAATTGTGAATTCACCATTTTCGAAAGTGTGGTATGAATAACTATGTATAGTATTTTTATTCCGACTTGAAACACTTAAAAAGACATTTAGACGGCATACATCAAACAAATAAATGACATGATAATCAATATCAAACAATACAACTAAATAATACGTGGAATAAAATAGCAAATAATATACATATAAATTGGGATGACACTGGTTATGTTATTGAAATCGCGTAGTCTAGTCAACAAGTGCACCTACATCGTTCCTGGGAAGACGTACAGTAGCCCAACCCAATAATGAGGAATTTGCAGATTTTTTTTTTTATTCTCTTATTAAATTTTTCACATTGTAAAAAGTCACTTGCCACATAAATTTAAAATTTTCAACTAATAGTTTTTCTGTAAAAAAATATAGAAATTCAAAATAACTCTCTTCGCGCCAAAACGCAGGATGACGTCACAAGACGGTATGTGTCAAAACGAGCAGTGTTGCCGCGAGACAAACCAATTTTGTACTGGAGTCAGGCGATGATTTGTACTAAATTACGTAAAAATGTACTAAATATCCTAACAATTTTAAGCATTTATGCGGGTGAAGTAACGAAAAATCAAATTTTTTTGTAATATTTCTAGTTATGACATCGTTTATTCGATTAAACGATAATAGGTCTGTTCTGCAGAAATCACAAACCAGTCAGAGCGAATTTCATTGGTTGAAAACAGTCAGAAAACTAGATTCAACCAATGAAATTCACTTTGATTGGTTTGTGATTTCTGCAGAAAGAGACCTATAAGGGTGGGTATTATTAAAATATTTTGACAGTTAACTTTAAAGTTAACTTCTGGAATGACGTTACTTTCCACAGTAATTCCATAAGTTAAATTTTTGCTACCTGTCAAAATAGTTTTATAATACCTGCTCTTATACATACAATACAATACTATCAGTTTGTATAAGAGAAAAATAAAAATACATTTTTTTCTGCACTGGTTCTACCAATGAAATTCGCTATAAATAGTACTAAAATTATCGATGGTGTACTGACGTACTAAATTACACTGTAGTGTACTGAATCTAGTACAAATGTACTAAAAACGGCATCACTGAAAACGAGTCTCTGTACTCCCTCTCTCTCTTACCCATTGTGTTTTGGCATTGGTTTATGCGACTATGTCGATCATTGTCATTTTCCATTCACTAAACAAAGATAGTGTTACGTTGATTTTGGAAATCAATTCTCTTCCAGTGAACTCACACCCTATACATTAAGAGAAAGAAAGTTATAGTGTAGTAATGATAGTTATATCGGTGAAGTCGCCGATTAGAATAAAAACGAGGGGTATCTTTGTTTAGTTAATGGAAAATGACAATGACCGACATAGAATGCTGAATCCATCGGTAGAATTCGATGTAAGCACAAGCGTCTGACGGCTCACGTATCACGTTAACATAACCACACTTTTGTTTGTTTACCGTTCCATGACGTCATAACCAATTTGAGAGCGTTTTCGCGCCCTTTGTTATATTCAATATTTAAATAATTAATTATTTATTAGTGGTTCAATATAAAGAGGATTTGAATATGGAAATATACTTCTAGAGTATTTTGCTTCACTTTAAATACATTTTGCATAAAAATAAAATTTTATGCAACTTCCTCATTAAACCTATAGGCACGTGCCTACTTAAATTATTAATTTGGGCCACTGTAGAGATATTTCGATTTCGTCGCTGCTTATATTTTATACATACAGAGAAACTTACAATAGATTTTCTATGAAATTGATAGAAGAAGAGCGACAGTGATGTTGGAACATCCTCGTATAGGCAGTGTTTCAAGTCAGAATAAAAATACTATATCGCTGCCGGTATTTTTTTGCGCGTAGATAGACTATTGTCCATATATTTATCATTATTATACCAGCAAAAAAAATTCAGGTCTATTATCTTTAAAAACATTTTTTTGCAATTTCGATGTGGAGCTCACGGGCCCCTTTCGGGGCCGGGCCTGTGTGCTTCGCACACATGGCACACCGGTAGATACGCCACTGTCCATTTTATATGTGAGCATAATAATTTTAATATTTTTTAAAACTATAAAAATATTATTATATCTTTGGCTACGGGCTTTAGATTAATATTATATTATGCATTAGAAAAATATTCTGCTCCTATTTTATAATACGCTGATTAAAAGATTAAAATCTGTTCCATAATGAACTTCATTATGATACGTATTTTCATTATGATACAAATTTTTCAGCCACTGGAATCGAGTTATTTTTAACATTAACAATGGCTATAAAAAAATAACAGACTTGTTTTCGATTGTTTCTTTTAGTATTTACAAATAGAAACAACAAAAAATAAATAAATTATTGTCTAAGAAAAGAATTGAAAAGAAACTTGAAAAATTAAAATAATAGTAAAATGATAAAACATACAGACAAAAAAGAAAAAAATAGGTATTCAAAAACATCAAAACTTAGATCTACATTATAACTAATATCATTCACACTAACGAATTAAAACAAATAAAAATCACACGAACAAAAAAACAATAATGTAATAAACAACTCACAGACATAATTTAAATCTATCTTCTAGGAACTCCGATATATCATAAAGAGGCTCGCTATTAACATGAATTTGTAAAATAACTATCTATTTCGTTTATTAATGGGAGTAAAAGAAATAGCATGCATGCAACTCTCATGTATGTACGAAACGAGCCGCTACAACATTCTAGTGTATTAATGGCTATCATTACATGATCATTGCATAATATACTATTATTCTAGCATGAGTGACGTGGTTCACAGTATTTAAAAAGGATCTGCATGTATGTCGCTGCCGTGAATATTGACGTTTACCAATTTCATATTTATAAAGACAACAGATACTTTCAAGTTTAAAACAAATATATATCTATGGGCCTTCTTCACGTAGGCACTCAAAACTAAGGAGGCAAAGGCATGGTACATATGGCATTATGTGCCATAATAGCGAAAACTCCAGCTAAGGCTATGCCAGTGCTATCGGCAAATCCATTGATGGCCATGGAAAACTGCCTGGCCGCTGGGTTTTTTACCTAAGCAGAAAACAAACTATTGAACACTTTTACATAGTCTAAAGTTAATACAGCGGTCGAGATAACAATGACAATGTGCTAAGATTTGCAGAGTTTGACAGGGATGGTATACCTACACAAAAACTTATTTCACATCCCAGTGGATTTTTAACACAAAAACCCACTATCATCAATATTAACAAAAACCCAGTGGGTTTTGGGCTTTTCATGTCCAAAACCCATAAAACTTATTCCTAACATAGTGCCAAATATCAATTCAACTTATGGGTATTACCTAATCAAACAATTGTTAGATACTGTCCTGGTGACGCCTTCGCCAAACAGTACAGAATCTAATTTGAAATCTAGAAAATACTGCGATACTGCTACACATACAAGAATGGATTACGGATATATAAAGCCGGTATTAGTAGTTTTTAGTTTTTAATATTGACTGTGATATGATTAAGATAGTGATTATTGTCGAGAGTTTAGTTGTTTGAGTTAATTAGTGAAGTAATTAGTGTCAAAGTGTATAGTAATGTGGAATAAATTATTGTTGTGTTGATTGGAGTTTAGTTTTAAATAAACGGAACCGAGATTTCTGTCACGCACCCCAGAGTGGTGACATTGGTGTCAGAAGTGAGATATAATTCGAGGACTGCAAAGTGGAATCGGATTGCAGAATAGTGCGGATTATTGCGGACACTAGAGTGGTCATTAGGTGAATACTGGGACAGTTAGTCAGTGTAAGCAGTGACGATCACAAGATACCCGAGTTTGAAAAGATGGCATAAAAGTTATGAAAGGAAAAATAGATCTTGTCAGGGATTGACTAAAGTCACGCGATAAACATGAACTAAGGCGTTTACTAGGATTATGTTCTTATTATCGGAGATTTTTAGAAGGATTTGCTAATATAGCTGCTCCGCTTCATCGATTAAAGGAAGAAAAATCAATTCATTCATCAATTGGACCCAAAAATGCAATTCCGCTTTTAGAAAATTAAAAGTAGCATTATGTACAAGCCCAGTGTTGTCCTATCTTGATCAGAAAGGCATGTTGATTTTAAAAACAGATGCAAGCAACACCAGTATTGGAGCTGTTCTTTCACAAATACAAAATTCACAAGAGCATCGTGTCGTAGAGTACTATAGCAGAACCATATCTAGGCCGGAACGAAATTATTGTGTCACCAGAAGAGAGTTGCTTGCCATAGTAAGAGCATTTGACCATTTCCATAAGTATCTCTACGGACGTAAGCTTCTAATTCGAACGGATCACGCTGCTCTCAAGTGGCTTTTAGAAATGAAAACTCCTGAAGGACAGCGCTTGCTAGATGGATTGAGAAATTGCAGCAATACGGTTTCCAAATTAAACATCGACCTTGAAACCTACATAAGAATGCTGACACTCTGTCTAGACGGCCATGCAAAGAAGAATGCAAGCATTGTCAAAGAATCACTTAAAAGAGTTTGGGAAAGTGCCGATGGGAAATCCACTAAGGGTCAACTGGTTATTCCAAAAAACCGAGTAGAAGATGTATTGAAAGAAATAAATAACGGAACTTCAGGGGCACATTTTGGAGTTGGGTTGACAAGACTTTGGACAAAATTCGGGAACGTTTTTACTGGGTTCACTCTCACGGAGACGTTAAAAACTGGTGCCGAAAATGCGAAATCTGTGCTACCAGTGAAGGCCCTAAACTAAGAACTCGGGGGCCCATGAAACAGTACAACGTTGGTCTCCCATTTTGGTTATCATGGATTACTCCAGTAAATGGCCAGAAGTGTTCGCTATTCTCAAGCCATCAATATTGCTCAGGTGCTAGTGGACGAAGTTTTTGGTCATCATGGTGTGCCCGTAGAGTTGCATTCAGATCAGGGACGAAACTTCGAATCTGCCATCAGGAAATTTTGTGAGATCATGGGTATTCGTAAGACAAGGACAACACCTTTACATCCTCAGTCTGATGGCAGTATAGAACGATTTGATAAGACCATAGAGGAACACCTTACAAAAGTGGTCGCAAAGGACCAGCGAGATTGGTACAAACACTTGCCTCTATTTTAGGAGGGCAGTCTCCCGGTGGCGCCTTTGCCAAACAGTACAGAATCTAACTTAAAATCTAGAAAATACTGCTTTATTCGCGCAAAGAGATTATCGCATTTATTCTGGATTATACAAGAATGGATTACGGATATATAAAGACTGGTATTAGTTAGTTTTTAAGATTGACTGTGATATGATTTAGTTAGGGATTATGGTTGAGAGTTATAAAGAGATTGGTTGTTTGAGTTAATTAAAGGATTTTTGGAAAATTTTCAATGCTCGATAAATTCAATTTTGAAGCTTCTAAGGTGCAAAACTGTCGAATCCAAATTGAAATCTTGATTAATAAGTTTGTAGAGGATTTAATTGGTTTCAATTAGAGCCTTATTACATTGAAATCGAATAATAATTTAGGGAGCTGTGAGCCAGAAATTCTTTGTGTCATTTTTAGAAAATTACACAATAATCCTACAAAAACTATCACAATAACCCGCAAAAACCCAATAAAAATTTCCAAAAAGACGGGTTATTGAGTTTGAAGTAAAATAGTTTCAAAAAATACAAAGCATCAATTTTCTGGATTGGATTCTAGAAACCAATAGGAGCTGGAAATTTCATACCGAAAGCTGCGAACCAGTGAAGAATGAGTTTGCTGACATTGGATTGCGTGCTGAATCCAAGTTTTCTATTGCAATTGGTTGTAACTGTAACTACAGAGTACATTTGACACAAATTCCGCGCCTAAACATTCTTTACTAATCACTGAAGCAAAGAGTATTTTATTTCATAAAAATATTTTGATAGGTCCAAACATACAGACACAGGAATTTTTTAAATAAATCCGAAAATACTAACCTCATTGGAAATTCGGTAGTATGTGTTCACATATGCTGCTCCTCCTAGTAGACCTTCCCACAGCACTAAAGCTAGCACGATGTAGATGTTTGGAATATAATAGTATATTGCGTCTGTTGTGAAAATGATGACATTGATGCCCTAAAAAGTTATTTTGATTAACAATTATAATTTTTCTTTCGACTAAAAACTCAATTATTCACCTGCAATACCGCCAGTATCCATGTTTGTTTAATGTGCAATATTGCAACAGATGATCGTGATACAAAAACTCCCACTTGATACATAACTTGCATCCATCTGTACTGTGATTCAACTGAAATGGAAGCGTCTGGAAACTTAATCAGTTCAAACTAAAAATTCACCATTTTAGTTTCGACTACTAGAGAAATAGATTAAATAACTTACCGTGCCCTGATTAATAAAATATTCAAAAAGGTATATGAGACCGAAAGGTATCATGTATTTCATGAGACCAGGAATCAGATAAATTTTTCTTCTTAAAGACAACTCCTCATTTTCGAGCTTGACTTGATCGGCTGGTTGTTCAGCTTCTGCTTCAGTAGATTCTCTGGGGGGTAACGGTTTGGGTAACAATAGCCAAAACCTGTCAAAAGTGGTCCAGAATTAAAATAAATAAATTTATTTTTCAAATAAAATAATTTACTACTTACGCTAGCGATGTTATGGCTGGTATGGTCAGCATTATCAACAACGTTCTTTGCATACCTACGGCATTTAATAGTGAGTATGAAACGGCCCCGATTACTCCAGCTCCTCCTGAACCGGAACCCCAAGCCGATAAGACACTCCTAAAATTAACAAAAACAATATTTAAAACGAGAGTTCTGTTTCATTATAGTTGTCAAATAGTAGTGAAAATGTGAAAAATTAAGTGAAATAGAAAATGCCATATTGTAGAGGAGAAAAAATGGCAACAATGAATAATGGCCGTTTCCACCAACTATTTTAGGGAAGCCTTAACGATATTTCCTGAACCGACATTTCTCCATGGAAAACTGTACTACTTATCGTTAAGGCTTCCCTAAAATAGTTGGTGAAAACCGAAAACCAAGGTAAGTGTCATTTATTTTGAAGTAATTATGTCTTTAAATAGGATCAGGAAAGGTTTTTTTTCAAATATCTCCGAAAGTATTTGGAATTTTCTAAACTGCCTTTTAGTGAGTAAAAAATTGTGTAACTTTGCCCCAATTTAACCGACCCTGTATCCCTTATGGTTACTAAGATCCTCATACTCACTCACGAAGTTGTAACACCCTGTATGCTAATGTGTTTGAAGAAGGTTCCCGTCAGTAGCATGTTGTATAATCACACGTTGTATTTTTATTTATTTTTTGGTTTGGTGAAGGGTTCAAAGGGCATCTCACCGCCCGATTTACGATTAGATGTCTCTCAAAGTAACCCAAACCTCCCTGGATTTTACTCCGTGTATTTTTTATATCATAAACAACGAATTGATTATTAGAACGCGAATCGATAGTAAGACAGCGAGTTGAAGAGTAGACCAATTTATCTCGCTTAGACATGATATTTGTGTCTGGCTACTGGAAATTACTTTCAGAGACTGATTTGCCATTTTCAAAAAAAAAAGAGCTTTTAAACATTATTCATAAAACGACAATGGAGTAAAATATAAATGAATTTGTGTACGGTGGAGAGAAGGCGCGCTGCACATAACATTATTTTGCTAAAACTAAGTTTCCGATATGAGTGAAAATTTTGATACACTCATCTGCATCCAGTCTCTCCGCCCGACGTAAATCTAGTTACAGACTTACTTTTCATAATTGGCGCTGTACTGGAGATACGTAACTTCTCCCAAACCGGAACAAAATGAGATAAGTACAACTCCCAATATGGATACGCCAATACTGTTGCTGAATCCAACGACAAGATATCCTGCAGTGGTTACACCAACGCAAATGGCTACTCTTATGCTAAAAAAAAAATATTTTGATATGTTTATTAAAAAAACAAAAAACATATTGCTGAAGAATATTGAATAACCAAATTTGTTATACTTTTGGAGCTTAAGGTTTTTATATGACCTGGTATTTATGAACGATTTATAGCGTTGAAATTTAAGTACTACTTCAAAACGTATTAAATGGTGCGTTTCAATTTAACAAATTAGCATAACGAAAACTAAAAAGTACTTACTGTACTACAAACGGTAAGAAAGGAAGCACCAGTTTGACTAATAGAGCTGGAAGAATGTCGGCTAATAGGATTGTTCCGGTTGAAATTTGAGCACAATTTCTGATGGTGCTCACCAGCTGAAACAAAACAAGAATTCAAGTTTCTAAAAACTGTATTTGAGAGTCTATCACATTATTATTAAAACTGAGGCTTATTAGCGTTTGAACTTGAACCCACATCTAGTTGAAGTGAAGTAATGTCCGTTTTGCCATAGATATCAAAAACAAGATCCAGAAGCTGACAATCCTATACTAGTTTATATTGCAATTATTAAACATGAAAATAAAAATTCCTGTTAGGGTATTGTTAATTTGTGTTTCCAGCTTTCACCGTCTGACAGACAAATTAGACAAAAAGAAGAACCTGCAGTAGATACAACATTTTCTGCTTTTTTCCGTGATATTTTTTTTTGCATTATTTTTTCGCGCCTGTTTTCAGGTTTCCTCCCAGCCCTTACCGCAAAAAAATCATGAAAAATTCCTATAAAATCACCTTTAAAAGCTTCTGAAAAATACTTCAAGCAATCAGGGGGACTTCAAATTTTCAGGATTCATTGAAAGGTCTGTTTATCAAAACAAAACATACACCGAATGGATCTCAGGCTCAGAAATGGAATTATGAATTTTTTCTCACTAAGATGCAAAAAAATCGATAATTCGTGTTTAATATTTTCACTAACTAATTAAAACTTTGACAACAAAGTGCAATTTTTACCATGCAATTTCAAATTAATTAATAAAAAATGTAAATTTTTGTAAAGTAGAAAAATCAGACTTTCCGACGATGACGAAATATACAAGGGCTTTTCATTAAAAATAAGGCAGCATTTTTATTTCAAAAAAATCGTATGTCTGTAAAAAGAAATTTTTGCAAAGTGTGTCAGTTTACCTAATAAGGACCCTCTATAATAATTATTGAATATTTACATAAATATTATGTACTTACATCAGATCCCTCGCCCATTCCAATTATGTCGGACGCGGCTGTTAACATTACTACATAGCCGTAGTTGTTGCACAGTCCCAGAATGAAATACGCCAAAATACCCCTGATCTTGCGGTAGAGTTGCTCTCTATCACGTCTGGGTTGTGATGGTTCGGCATTAGAATGGACACTTGCCGTTGGAGAATCGCTGGAGGGGCCCTCTTCAGGTACTCTTACGGCATCAAAAGTAGACGCAGTTGTAGATGGTCTGGGGAGCTCATCTTCAGGGAAATTTGCGTAAGACCTATATGAACCTTCCATCGTAGAGTCGTCTTTCCTAAAGAAATTAGAAAGATAGGTTTCTCAATAATATCACTGCTCACTATCAAATCAAATACCTTATACAATTGTATCTAATACATACGCAGTAGAAAAATGTACAAAATAAGAAAAATATATTAAAATTTAGGTTTGTCAAACTCCAGAAGAAATTGGAACTAAAAGAGGTTCAGAAAATTATAAAGCAAGTAGTTGAGGAAGAAAGAAGAAACGGGAAAAGGTGAAGATAGGATACCAAAAATTTACAATTGGCAGAAAATGCTTGAAATTGGAATAAAATCACTAGAGGCGGAAATAAGCACCAGTCAAATAACGCATAAGAAAAGGTCACAAACAGATATCAAAGACGAAGTTATGAAAACGGACATAAGAAACAACGAAGGGAGAAAATGTAACATTGGTCGAACATATTAAGAGACAAGAGAATAATACAACGAACAATAATAGGGCAAAACAGATTTTCATCTGTCTGAAAGAGCTGGTAAGAATAGAGTAATGGTAACAATAGCTAGTACAGGATACAATCATTTGCATAAAAGAAAAAAAGGGAAGAATGAAGCGTAATTAAACTTGGAATATTGAAGGTTGACAGGGAGTCAACAGATTGGGCCAGGACTAATCTGAATTTCAGAAACAAAGATAAGAATAAAATACTTTGTTATACACTGTGCTATACTGATAAGGGAAAAAGAAGTGAAGAGTGAAAACATTGTCATTCACTCGAACAGCCAAGCGGCCCTAAGGTAATCAGCTCCAAACTATGGCCAGGGACTGCTTATATGCCCTAGAGGAGGTGGGCTTGTCCAACAAACTTATAGTCTGGCAGCTTTAAATTTGCCGGCGAGGAGGGCGAAGAGGAGAAAAATGGCGGTGGGTTGTATCGTGAACCTTGGTTGCGTTCGAGAACCTGGGGTGTCGTATAAAGGCGGAGTGTGGATAAAAATCACTTGGATTTCGGCGTTCGGAAAGGTGGTTGTCACGTACTCGTGCTCGCACCGAACACTCGAGTCCCGACTAGAGTGAAATTTAAGCTGACATTTTGAGGATGCATAACAGGTCTGTTCTCACAGAAATCACAAACTAGTCAGAACGAATCGAATTTCATTGGTTGAAAATAGTGAGAAAACTGTTTGTTGACGATTTGGACCAGCGTGGGTATCAGCCACCGAGCTGATAGGCTCAAAACCATTTTGCGGAATCTTAGCATGCCTCTTCAAAATAGATATCTATCAAGAACTGGATAGACAGAGAATTCCAGAGCTGGTGGCTGCAAACATCAGGACAACGACAATCAAAGCAGTTCAAAATATTCTGAGAAACCTTATGCAGGTTCTGCGGAAGAAACTGCCGTACACTTGTGGTGCCATTGCGAAGCGTTATGCAGGCTCACGAAACTCGGTGAGGAGAAGCCCAAACCGGTAAGCTATATGGAGTGGTCTGATGAGAAAATCGGGTCTAAACAACGCATTCTAAGGTCAGACAGGAGATACCACAGTAAATCTGAAAAGATTGCTGTGATAGAGCATGCTTTTGCGCCATCTCCGTTCAATTAATCTAAGATCTAAAAGACTTTTCAAAGAGAACATGATTAATGAATGGCTGATATTACTAACCACCTATATACAAATATGATCAAGAATAATGAAAGATAGTGGCCGGAAGGTTGAGGTTTGCTAGTCCTCCATCGGGCGCCTTCCCAGGTGGTGGATAGGGGAATGCCTCTCAGATATAAGTGGTACCGGGGAAATTAAATACCCGGGGCGGACCAAAATTAGCACTGAAGCGTCTGCCTCAGATTGAGCTGCTGAAAATAGCGTCTGTCCCAGAATGGGCGGCTGAATCAAAACTCACCAACCCGCCTGGCAAGCGTGGTGTTTTACTTGCCATCACCCCCTGTACATACCATGGCGAATTTTAAAACAAATGGAACTGGTCCCTAGGTGGGTGGGAAATTTCCCAATTCCCACACCTCTATGGTTTGCCTCACGGAAACTGGGGGAGGCAGAAATTCGCTCTCAACAAAGATCAAAACCCCACGAAAACGGACTAACACAATAAAAATTACAGAAATTGATCAACCTAATAGGAACATACAATATTAGATCAATGAACACTGACGAAAAGATACATGACCTGGAGGAAGAGCTGACAAGAATGAAGTGGGACATAGTAGGCTTGTCAGAAACTCGAAGAAAAACAGAAAATCGAATAAAATTGAACTTTTGCAACCTGCTATACTACAAAGGTAACGAGAACAACAGTAACTTTGGAGTAGGATTTATTATAAATAAAGCGATAAAATACGTCCAAACTATCAAGGGAGTCTCAGATCGGGTTGCTTATCTCGTACTCAAAATGAAAAGAACATCGCTTAAAATTATTCAAGTGTACAAACGACGACGAGAGCATCGAAATATTCTATGAAGATATCTCAAAGGCTATGGAAGAACATAAAACTCGCCTTACTCTAGTAATTGGAGATTTCAATGCCAAACTTGGTAAGAAGCTGAATAAAGAAAAGACTAAAATCGGGAACTTTGGGTACGGTGAGAGGAACGATAGGGGCACTATCTTGATGAACTATCTAGAAGAAAAACATCTATATGCAATGCACTCGTTCTATAAGAAGAAACCGCAAGGAAAGTGGACATGGCTCAGCCCTAATGGAACAACGAGAAATGAAATTGACTACATACTGACCACTGAAAAATATATTATTAAAGATGTAACAGTCCTGAACAGATTCACCACAGGCAGCGATCACAGAAAGGTCAGAGCAAAAACACGTATCGATGACAACTTTGAAATGAAAAGAAAAACTAATGGAAACAAGGGACAACTAGACATGACCAAATTTGCACAAAATAAAACCATATACAAAGAGAGACTGAAGGAACAACTGACCCAGAACTTGAACAGCGATAATGAAAATATAGATAAAATATACGATACATTAGCGGAAACCATGGTTAGGGTGAGAAAAGAAATCGCACAAAAAGATAAAAAGAGGGAAGATTGCATATGAGAAGAGACAAAGAAACTCACGGAAAGAAGGCGGAAACTGAACGAAGAAGGGAAAAAGGAAATCGATAGAATACACAGAAATCAATAAGACCACCAGGAAAATGATAAAAGAAAACACAAGAAAGAACCAAGAAATAGAAAAAGAAAGAGTCATAGAGAATAACAGGAATATGAAATGCCTAAGACCGACATTAGGAAGATACGAAATAAATGAAATAAAAGACAAGAACGGCGTGAAACTAATATCAAGGAGGATATCATAAATATCAGACAACTCTTTTATACAGAACTATATCACACAAAAAAGGAACCACGGGAAGAAACCGTAAAACAACTACAAACTAAAATAAAAAATGTAAACTCAGAACTACAACCCGAAATAAGCAAATCGGAAATGAAGAGGGCTCTGAAAGAAATGAAAAACAGCAAAGTACCTGGAAAAGACGGAGTTACGGCAGAAATGCTAAAATACGGTGGAAAAACGGTTATCAATACTCTCCATACCCTCCTAATTAAGATACTGAAAGAAAAGAAAATCCCAAACAACTGGAATGAATCCATAACCATCATCCTTTATAAGAAACGTGATAGAACTGACTTGAAAAACTATCAACCTATAACACTCCTTAATGTAATTTATAAGCTCTTCACAAAAATTCTCACCACCAGGCTAACAATAAAATTTGATGGTCATCAATCGAAAGAGCAGGCTGGCTTCAGAAAGGGTTTTAATACAAGTGACCACCTATTAACCATGAAAATCCTAATAGAACGAGCCAACGAATATCACATCCCACTATATATTGCATTTATCGACCAAAAAGGCTTTTGATAGTGTTGAACACTGGGCAGTAAAGAGCTCATCAATTAATAGCAGAATATACTACAGATACGCATACCTAATAACCAACATACGAAACAACAACAACTGTTAAAATCCATGAGAGAACAAAACCAATACCCATAAGAAGAGGTGTCAGACAGGGCGACACAATATCACCCAAACATATCAATCAGGCCCTGGAAGATGTTTTTAAAAACTAGACTGGGAAGAAAAAGGTATAAAAATTCGCGGACAATACTTGAGCAACTTAAAATACGCGGATGATATCGCCCTAATAACTGTTAAGAAAGAAGAACTGACGGAAATGCTGGAAGAATTTGACACAGCAGCTGAAAACATAAGTCTCAATATGAACTACGCCAAAACTAAAACAATAACGAACACAGACGATGACATCACAATCAGAATAGGACATGAAAAAATAGAACAAGTCGACGAATATATATACAATCTAGGACAGATTATTAAACTCAACAAAAAAAACCAAACAGCAGAGATCAAGAGACGAGTTAGATTAGCTTGGGCAGCATTTGGCAAATTAAGCTACATCTTGAAAAATAGAAAATATCCACAATACCTCAAAACCAAAGTTTATAATCAATGTATACTTCCTGTTCTCACCTATGGGTCCCAAACATGGACACTTACAAAGTCAAACATGGATAAAATAACAAAAGCACAAAGATCAATGGAAAGATAAATGTTACATGTGAAACTGATAGATAAATAAAGGAACGAGTGGATAAGAAATACAACGAGAGTAAGAGACGTTAGAAAGGAGGTAGCAAAATTAAAATGGAAATTCGCAGGTCACAATATCAGACAAAGAGACGACCGATCGATCGAATAACTGTATTCTAAGCTAGAGACCTTGGGAGAATAAAAGAAGTGCAGGAAGATCCCGGATGAGGTATGCTGATAACCTGAAGAAGCACGCTGGAACCAGGTGGATGAACATGGCAACAGACAGAGAGGAATGGAGAAGACTGGGGGAGGCCTACGTCCAAAAATGGACTGAAGAAGGCTGAAAAGATAGATAGATAGATTATGATAGATAGTGACCGGAAGAGAACTAAGAAAAATAATGTTTTCCACAGAGCAACGACGAAGTAGATACCAGTGGTATAAAAAAATAATAACT